GTGTGCTGAGTCTATGGGTCTCTGTGTGCTGAGTCTATGGGTCTCTGTGTGAGTCTATGGGTATCTGTGTGCTGAGTCTATGGGTCTCTGTGTGCTGAGTCTATGGGTCTCTGTGTGGTGAGTCTATGAGTCTCTGTGTGCTGAGTCTATGGGTCTCTGTGTGCTGAGTCTATGGGTCTGTGTGGTGAGTTTATGGGTCTCTGTGTGGTGAGTCTATGGGTCTCTGTGTGGTGAGTCTATGGGTCTCTGTGTGGTGAGTCTATAGGTCTCTGTGTGAGTCTATGGGTCTCTGTGTGGTGAGTCTATGGGTCTCTGTGTGGTGAGTCTATGGGTCTGTGTGGTGAGTCTATGAGTCTCTGTGTGGTGAGTCTATGGGTCTCTGTGTGGTGAGTCTATGGGTCTCTGTGTGGTGAGTCTATGGGTCTCTGTGTGAGTTTATGGGTCTCTGTGTGGTGAGTCTATGGGTCTCTGTGTGGTGAGTCTATGGGTCTCTGTGTGCTGAGTCTATGGGTCTCTGTGTGCTGAGTCTATGGGTCTCTGTGTGGTGAGTCTATGAGTCTCTGTGTGCTGAGTCTATGGGTCTCTGTGTGCTGAGTCTATGGGTCTGTGTGGTGAGTTTATGGGTCTCTGTGTGGTGAGTCTATGGGTCTCTGTGTGAGTCTATGGGTCTCTGTGTGCTGAGTCTGTGGGTCTCTGTGTGGTGAGTCTATGGGTCTCTGTGTGGTGAGTCTATGGGTCTCTGTGTGCTGAGTCTATGGGTCTCTGTGCGGTGAGTCTATGGGTCTCTGTGTGGTGAGTCTGTGGGTCTCTATGTGGTGAGTCTATGGGTCTCTGTGTGGTGAGTCTATGGGTCTCTGTGTGGTGAGTCTATGGGTCTCTGTGTGGTGAGTCTATGAGTCTCTGTGTGCTGAGTCTATGGGTCTCTGTGTGCTGAGTCTATGGGTCTGTGTGGTGAGTTTATGGGTCTCTGTGTGGTGAGTCTATGGGTCTCTGTGTGAGTCTATGGGTCTCTGTGTGCTGAGTCTGTGGGTCTCTGTGTGGTGAGTCTATGTGTCTCTGTGTGGTGAGTCTATGGGTCTCTGTGTGCTGAGTCTATGGGTCTCTGTGCGGTGAGTCTATGGGTCTCTGTGTGGTGAGTCTGTGGGTCTCTATGTGGTGAGTCTATGGGTCTCTGTGTGGTGAGTCTATGGGTCTCTGTGTGGTGAGTCTATGGGTTTCTGTGTGGTGAGTCTATGGGTCTCTGTGTGGTGAGTCTATGGGTCTCTGTGTGGTGAGTCTATGGGTATCTGTGTGCTGAGTCTATGGGTCTCTGTGTGCTGAGTCTATGGGTCTCTGTGTGGTGAGTCTATGAGTCTCTGTGTGCTGAGTCTATGGGTCTCTGTGTGCTGAGTCTATGGGTCTGTGTGGTGAGTTTATGGGTCTCTGTGTGGTGAGTCTATGGGTCTCTGTGTGGTGAGTCTATGGGTCTCTGTGTGGTGAGTCTATGGGTCTCTGTGTGGTGAGTCTATGGGTCTCTGTGTGAGTCTATGGGTCTCTGTGTGGTGAGTCTATGGGTCTCTGTGTGGTGAGTCTATGGGTCTCTGTGTGGTGAGTCTATGGGTCTCTGTGTGGTGAGTCTATGGGTCTCTGTGTGGTGAGTCTATGGGTCTCTGTGTGAGTCTATGGGTCTCTGTGTGGTGAGTCTATGGGTCTCTGTGTGGTGAGTCTATGGGTCTGTGTGGTGAGTCTATGAGTCTCTGTGTGGTGAGTCTATGGGTCTCTGTGTGGTGAGTCTATGGGTCTCTGTGTGGTGAGTCTATGGGTCTCTGTGTGGTGAGTCTATGGGTCTGTGTGGTGAGTCTATGAGTCTCTGTGTGGTGAGTCTATGGGTCTCTGTGTGGTGAGTCTATGGGTCTCTGTGTGGTGAGTCTATGAGTCTCTGTGTGGTGAGTCTATGGGTCTCTGTGTGGTGAGTCTATGGGTCTCTGTGTGGTGAGTCTATGGGTCTCTGTGTGGTGAGTCTATGGGTCTCTGTGTGGTGAGTCTATGGGTATCTGTGTGCTGAGTCTATGGGTCTCTGTGTGGTGAGTCTATGGGTCTCTGTGTGGTGAGTCTATGGGTCTCTGTGTGGTGAGTCTATGGGTATCTGTGTGCTGAGTCTATGGGTCTCTGTGTGCTGAGTCTATGGGTCTGTGTGGTGAGTTTATGGGTCTCTGTGTGGTGAGTCTATGGGTCTCTGTGTGGTGAGTCTATGGGTCTCTGTGTGGTGAGTCTATGGGTCTCTGTGTGAGTCTATGGGTCTCTGTGTGGTGAGTCTATGGGTCTCTGTGTGGTGAGTCTATGGGTCTGTGTGGTGAGTCTATGAGTCCCTGTGTGGTGAGTCTATGGGTCTCTGTGTGGTGAGTCTATGAGTCTCTGTGTGGTGAGTCTATGGGTCTCTGTGTGGTGAGTCTATGAGTCTCTGTGTGGTGAGTCTATGAGTCTCTGTGCGGTGAGTCTATGGGTCTCTGTGTGGTGAGTCTGTGGGTCTCTATGTAGTGAGTCTATGGGTCTCTGTGTGGTGAGTCTATGGGTCTCTGTGTGGTGAGTCTATGGGTCTCTGTGTGGTGAGTCTGTGGGTCTCTATGTGGTGAGTCTATGGGTCTCTGTGTGGTGAGTCTATGGGTCTCTGTGTGGTGAGTCTATGGGTCTCTGTGTGGTGAGTCTATGAGTCTCTGTGTGCTGAGTCTATGGGTCTCTGTGTGCTGAGTCTATGGGTCTGTGTGGTGAGTTTATGGGTCTCTGTGTGGTGAGTCTATGGGTCTCTGTGTGAGTCTATGGGTCTCTGTGTGCTGAGTCTGTGGGTCTCTGTGTGGTGAGTCTATGTGTCTCTGTGTGGTGAGTCTATGGGTCTCTGTGTGCTGAGTCTATGGGTCTCTGTGCGGTGAGTCTATGGGTCTCTGTGTGGTGAGTCTGTGGGTCTCTATGTGGTGAGTCTATGGGTCTCTGTGTGGTGAGTCTATGGGTCTCTGTGTGGTGAGTCTATGGGTCTCTGTGTGGTGAGTCTATGGGTCTCTGTGTGGTGAGTCTATGGGTCTCTGTGTGGTGAGTCTATGGGTATCTGTGTGCTGAGTCTATGGGTCTCTGTGTGCTGAGTCTATGGGTCTCTGTGTGGTGAGTCTATGAGTCTCTGTGTGCTGAGTCTATGGGTCTCTGTGTGCTGAGTCTATGGGTCTGTGTGGTGAGTTTATGGGTCTCTGTGTGGTGAGTCTATGGGTCTCTGTGTGGTGAGTCTATGGGTCTCTGTGTGGTGAGTCTATGGGTCTCTGTGTGGTGAGTCTATGGGTCTCTGTGTGAGTCTATGGGTCTCTGTGTGGTGAGTCTATGGGTCTCTGTGTGGTGAGTCTATGGGTCTCTGTGTGGTGAGTCTATGGGTCTGTGTGGTGAGTCTATGAGTCTCTGTGTGGTGAGTCTATGGGTCTCTGTGTGGTGAGTCTATGGGTCTCTGTGTGGTGAGTCTATGAGTCTCTGTGTGGTGAGTCTATGGGTCTCTGTGTGGTGAGTCTATGGGTCTCTGTGTGGTGAGTCTATGGGTCTCTGTGTGGTGAGTCTATGGGTCTCTGTGTGGTGAGTCTATGGGTATCTGTGTGCTGAGTCTATGGGTCTCTGTGTGGTGAGTCTATGGGTCTCTGTGTGGTGAGTCTATGGGTCTCTGTGTGGTGAGTCTATGGGTATCTGTGTGCTGAGTCTATGGGTCTCTGTGTGCTGAGTCTATGGGTCTGTGCGGTGAGTTTATGGGTCTCTGTGTGGTGAGTCTATGGGTCTCTGTGTGGTGAGTCTATGGGTCTCTGTGTGGTGAGTCTATGGGTCTCTGTGTGAGTCTATGGGTCTCTGTGTGGTGAGTCTATGGGTCTCTGTGTGGTGAGTCTATGGGTCTGTGTGGTGAGTCTATGAGTCCCTGTGTGGTGAGTCTATGGGTCTCTGTGTGGTGAGTCTATGGGTCTCTGTGTGGTGAGTCTATGAGTCTCTGTGTGGTGAGTCTATGGGTCTCTGTGTGGTGAGTCTATGAGTCTCTGTGTGGTGAGTCTATGAGTCTCTGTGCGTAAGTCTATGGGTCTCTGTGCATGAATCTATGGGTCTCTGTGTGGTGAGTCTATGGGTCTGTGTGGTGAGTCTATGGGTCTGTGTGGTGAGTCTATGGGTCTGTGTGGTGAGTCTATGGGTCTGTGTGGTGAGTCTATGGGTCTCTGTGTGGTGAGTCTATGGGTCTCTGTGTGGTGCGTCTATGGGTCTCTGTGTGGTGAGTCTATGGGTATCTGTGTGCTGAGTCTATGGGTCTATGTGTGGTGAGTCTATGGGTCTCTGTGTGGTGAGTCTATGGGTCTCTGTGTGGTGAGTCTATGGGTATCTGTGTGCTGAGTCTATGGGTCTCTGTGTGCTGAGTCTATGGGTCTGTGTGGTGAGTTTATGGGTCTCTGTGTGGTGAGTCTATGGGTCTCTGTGTGGTGAGTCTATGGGTCTCTGTGTGGTGAGTCTATGGGTCTCTGTGTGAGTCTATGGGTCTCTGTGTGGTGAGTCTATGGGTCTCTGTGTGGTGAGTCTATGGGTCTGTGTGGTGAGTCTATGGGTCTCTGTGTGGTGAGTCTATGGGTCTCTGTGTGGTGAGTCTATGGGTCTCTGTGTGGTGAGTCTATGGGTCTCTGTGTGGTGAGTCTATGAGTCTCTGTGTGGTGAGTCTATGGGTCTCTGTGTGGTGAGTCTATGGGTCTCTGTGCATGAGTCTATGGGTCTCTGTGCATGAGTCTATGGGTCTCTGTGTGGTGAGTCTATGGGTCTGTGTGGTGAGTCTATGGGTCTCTGTGTGGTGAGTCTATGGGTCTCTGTGTGGTGAGTCTATGGGTCTCTGTGTGGTGAGTCTATGGGTCTCTGTGTGGTGAGTCTATGGGTCTCTGTGTGGTGAGTCTATGGGTCTCTGTGTGGTGAGTCTATCGGTCTCTGTCTGTTGGCTGGGTGTGGAGTCGAACCCAGGCCACCCCCCTCACCTCGCGGCTTCTCGGGGGCTTTGGGCAGCGGCTCGGAGTTTGTGGCCTGGCTCAGGCTGAGCAGCGCTCGCGACGCTGAGTCCTCGTCCAGCCACACCACGTTGCCTGAGCACAGGGCAAAGGCAGAGACAAAGCTCCCCCAGGTAGCCTCTAGCAGGGCTGTAGGGGCAAGTGCTGTTAGTAGCCAGTAGCAGCGGGGCCTATGAAGGCAGGCACTGTGGCACACACTGAGACTCCCACAGGGTTCAGTGTTAATCACTGAGACTCACAGAGCCAGACTAAGGCTCCCACAGGGTTCAGTGTTAATCACTGAGACTCACAGAGCCAGACTAAGGCTCCCACAGGGTTCAGTGTTAATCAATGAGACTCACAGAGCCAGAGTAAGGCTCCCACAGGGTTCAGTGTTAATCACTGAGACTCGCAGAGCCAGACGAAGACTCCCACAGGGTTCAGTGTTAATCAGTGAGACTCACAGAGCCAGACTAAGACTCCCACAGGGTTCAGTGTTAATCACTGAGACTAACAGAGCCAGACGAAGACTCCCATAGGGTTCAGTGTTAATCATTGAGACTCACAGAACCAGACTGAGGCTCCCACAGGGTTCAGTGTTAATCACTGAGACTCACAGAGCCAGACTAAGGCTCCCACAGGATTCAGTGTTAATCACTGAGACTCACAGAGCCAGACTAAGGCTCCCACAGGGTTCAGTGTTAATCAGTGAGACTCACAGAGCCAGACTAAGGCTCCCACAGGGTTCAGTGTTAATCACTGAGACTAACAGAGCCAGACGAAGACTCCCACAGGGTTCAGTGTTAATCAGTGAGAATCACAGAGCCAGACTAAGGCTCCCACAGGGTTCAGTGTTAATCACTGAGACTCACAGAGCCAGACTAAGGCTCCCACAGGGTTCAGTGTTAATCACTGAGACTCACAGAGCCAGACTGAGGCTCCCACAGGGTTCAGTGTTAATCACTGAGACTCACAGAGCCAGACTGAGGCTCCCACAGGGTTCAGTGTTAATCACTGAGACTCACAGAGCCAGACTAAGACTCCCACAGGGTTCAGTGTTAATCACTGAGACTCACAGAGCCAGACTAAGGCTCCCACAGGGTTCAGTGTTAATCAGTGAGACTCACAGAGCCAGACTAAGGCTCCCACAGGGTTCAGTGTTAATCAGTGAGACTCACAGAGCCAGACTAAGACTCCCACAGGGTTCAGTGTTAATCACTGAGACTCACAGAACCAGACTGAGGCTCCCACAGGGTTCAGTGTTAATCACTGAGACTCACAGAGCCAGACTAAGGCTCCCACAGGATTCAGTGTTAATCACTGAGACTCACAGAGCCAGACTAAGGCTCCCACAGGGTTCAGTGTTAATCAGTGAGACTCACAGAGCCAGACTAAGGCTCCCACAGGGTTCAGTGTTAATCAGTGAGACTCACAGAGTCAGACTAAGGGTCCCACAGGGTTCAGTGTTAATCAGTGAGACTCACAGAGCCAGACTAAGACTCCCACAGGGTTCAGTGTTAATCAGTGAGACTCACAGAGCCAGACTAAGACACCCACAGGGTTCAGTGTTAATCACTGAGACTCACAGAGCCAGACTAAGGCTCCCACAGGGTTCAGTGTTAATCACTGAGACTCACAGAGCCAGACGAAGACTCCCACAGGGTTCAGTGTTAATCAGTGAGACTCACAGAGCCAGACTAAGACTCCCACAGGGTTCAGTGTTAATCACTGAGACTAACAGAGCCAGACGAAGACTCCCATAGGGTTCAGTGTTAATCATTGAGACTCACAGAACCAGACTGAGGCTCCCACAGGGTTCAGTGTTAATCACCGAGACTCACAGAGCCAGACTAAGGCTCCCACAGGATTCAGTGTTAATCACTGAGACTCACAGAGCCAGACTAAGGCTCCCACAGGGTTCAGTGTTAATCAGTGAGACTCACAGAGCCAGACTAAGGCTCCCACAGGGTTCAGTGTTAATCACTGAGACTCACAGAGCCAGACTAAGGCTCCCACAGGGTTCAGTGTTAATCACTGAGACTCACAGAGCCAGACTAAGGCTCCCACAGGGTTCAGTGTTAATCAATGAGACTCACAGAGCCAGAGTAAGGCTCCCACAGGGTTCAGTGTTAATCACTGAGACTCGCAGAGCCAGACGAAGACTCCCACAGGGTTCAGTGTTAATCAGTGAGACTCACAGAGCCAGACTAAGACTCCCACAGGGTTCAGTGTTAATCACTGAGACTAACAGAGCCAGACGAAGACTCCCATAGGGTTCAGTGTTAATCATTGAGACTCACAGAACCAGACTGAGGCTCCCACAGGGTTCAGTGTTAATCACTGAGACTCACAGAGCCAGACTAAGGCTCCCACAGGGTTCAGTGTTAATCAGTGAGACTCACAGAGCCAGACTAAGGCTCCCACAGGGTTCAGTGTTAATCACTGAGACTAACAGAGCCAGACGAAGACTCCCACAGGGTTCAGTGTTAATCAGTGAGAATCACAGAGCCAGACTAAGGCTCCCACAGGGTTCAGTGTTAATCACTGAGACTCACAGAGCCAGACTAAGGCTCCCACAGGGTTCAGTGTTAATCACTGAGACTCACAGAGCCAGACTAAGGCTCCCACAGGGTTCAGTGTTAATCACTGAGACTCACAGAGCCAGACTAAGGCTCCCACAGGGTTCAGTGTTAATCACTGAGACTCACAGAGCCAGACTAAGACTCCCACAGGGTTCAGTGTTAATCACTGAGACTCACAGAGCCAGACTAAGACTCCCACAGGGTTCAGTGTTAATCAGTGAGACTCACAGAGCCAGACTAAGGCTCCCACAGGGTTCAGTGTTAATCAGTGAGACTCACAGAGCCAGACTAAGACTCCCACAGGGTTCAGTGTTAATCACTGAGACTCACAGAACCAGACTGAGGCTCCCACAGGGTTCAGTGTTAATCACTGAGACTCACAGAGCCAGACTAAGGCTCCCACAGGATTCAGTGTTAATCACTGAGACTCACAGAGCCAGACTAAGGCTCCCACAGGGTTCAGTGTTAATCAGTGAGACTCACAGAGCCAGACTAAGGCTCCCACAGGGTTCAGTGTTAATCAGTGAGACTCACAGAGTCAGACTAAGGGTCCCACAGGGTTCAGTGTTAATCAGTGAGACTCACAGAGCCAGACTAAGACTCCCACAGGGTTCAGTGTTAATCAGTGAGACTCCCACAGGGTTCAGTGTTAATCACTGAGACTCACAGAGCCAGACTAAGGCTCCCACAGGGTTCAGTGTTAATCACTGAGACTCACAGAGCCAGACGAAGACTCCCACAGGGTTCAGTGTTAATCAGTGAGACTCACAGAGCCAGACTAAGACTCCCACAGGGTTCAGTGTTAATCACTGAGACTAACAGAGCCAGACGAAGACTCCCATAGGGTTCAGTGTTAATCATTGAGACTCACAGAACCAGACTGAGGCTCCCACAGGGTTCAGTGTTAATCACCGAGACTCACAGAGCCAGACTAAGGCTCCCACAGGATTCAGTGTTAATCACTGAGACTCACAGAGCCAGACTAAGGCTCCCACAGGGTTCAGTGTTAATCAGTGAGACTCACAGAGCCAGACTAAGGCTCCCACAGGGTTCAGTGTTAATCACTGAGACTAACAGAGCCAGACGAAGACTCCCATAGGGTTCAGTGTTAATTATTGAGACTCACAGAACCAGACTAAGGCTCCCACAGGGTTCAGTGTTAATCACTGAGACTCACAGAGCCAGACTAAGGCTCCCACAGGGTTCAGTGTTAATCACTGAGACTCACAGAGCCAGACTAAGGCTCCCACAGGGTTCAGTGTTAATCAGTGAGACTCACAGAGCCAGACTAAGGCTCCCACAGGGTTCAGTGTTAATCACTGAGACTCACAGAGCCAGACTAAGACTCCCAACAGGGTTCAGTGTTAATCACTGAGACTCACAGAGCCAGACTAAGGCTCCCAAATGGTGCAGTGTTAATCAGTGAGACTCACAGAGCCAGACTAAGGCTCCCACAGGGTTCAGTGTTAATCACTGAGACTCACAGAGCCAGACTAAGGCTCCCACAGGGTTCAGTGTTAATCACTGAGACTCACAGAGCCAGACTAAGACTCCCACAGGGTTCAGTGTTAATCAGAGAGACTCACAGAGGCAGACTAAGACTCCCACAGGGTTCAGTGTTAATCAGTGAGACTCACAGAGCCAGACTAAGGCTCCAACAGGGTTAAGTGTTAATCACTGAGACTCACAGAGCCAGAGTAAGGCTCCCACAGGGTTCAGTGTTAATCACTGAGACTCACAGAGCCAGACAAAGACTCCCACAGGGTTCAGTGTTAATCAGAGAGACTCACAGAGGCAGACTAAGACTCCCACAGGGTTCAGTGTTAATCACTGAGACTCACAGAGCCAGACTAAGGCTCCCACAGGGTTCAGTGTTAATCAGTGAGACTCACAGAGCCAGACTAAGACTCCCACAGGGTTCAGTGTTAATCACTGAGACTCACAGAGCCAGATTAAGACTCCCACAGGGTTCAGTGTTAATCAGAGAGACTCACAGAGCCAGACTAAGGCTCCCACAGGGTTCAGTGTTAATCAGTGAGACTCACAGAGCCAGACGAAGACTCCCACAGGGTTCAGTGTTAATCACTGAGACTCACAGAGCCAGACTAAGGCTCCCACAGGGTTCAGTGTTAGCCACTGAGACTCACAGAGCCAGATTAAGGCTCCCACAGGGTTCAGTGTTAATCACTGAGACTCACAGAGCCAGGCTAAGGCTCCCACAGGGTTCAGTGTTAATCACTGAGACTCACAGAGCCAGACTAAGACTCCCACAGGGTTCAGTGTTAATCAGTGAGACTCACAGAGCCAGACTAAGACTCCCACAGGGTTCAGTGTTAATCACTCAGACTCACAGAGCCAGACTAAGACACCCACAGGGTTCAGTGTTAGTCACTGGTGTAGGGGGCTCATAGAGCCAGACTAAGACTCCCACAGGGTTCAGTGTTAGTCACTGAAACTCACAGAGCCAGACTAAGGCTCCCACAGGGTTCAGTGTTAATCACTGAGACTCACAGAGCCAGACAGGCTCCCACAGGGTTCAGTGTTAATCACTGAGACTCACAGAGCCAGACTAAGGCTCCCACAGGGTTCAGTGTTAATCACTGAGACTCACAGAGCCAGACTAAGGCTCCCACAGGGTTCAGTGTTAATCAGTGAGAATCACAGAGCCAGACTAAGGCTCCCACAGGGTTCAGTGTTAATCACTGAGACTCACAGAGCCAGACTAAGGCTCCCACAGGGTTCAGTGTTAATCACTGAGACTAACAGAGCCAGACGAAGACTCCCACAGGGTTCAGTGTTAATCACTGAGACTCACAGAGCCAGACTAAGGCTCCCACAGGGTTCAGTGTTAATCACTGAGACTCACAGAGCCAGACTAAGGCTCCCACAGGGTTCAGTGTTAATCACTGAGACTCACAGAGCCAGACTAAGACTCCCACAGGGTTCAGTGTTAATCACTGAGACTCACAGAGCCAGACTAAGACTCCCACAGGGTTCAGTGTTAATCAGTGAGACTCACAGAGCCAGACTAAGGCTCCCACAGGGTTCAGTGTTAATCAGTGAGACTCACAGAGCCAGACTAAGGCTCCAACAGGGTTCAGTGTTAATCACTGAGACTAACAGAGCCAGACGAAGACTCCCATAGGGTTCAGTGTTAATCATTGAGACTCACAGAACCAGACTGAGGCTCCCACAGGGTTCAGTGTTAATCACTGAGACTCACAGAGCCAGACTAAGGCTCCCACAGGATTCAGTGTTAATCACTGAGACTCACAGAGCCAGACTAAGGCTCCCACAGGGTTCAGTGTTAATCAGTGAGACTCACAGAGCCAGACTAAGGCTCCCACAGGGTTCAGTGTTAATCAGTGAGACTCACAGAGTCAGACTAAGGGTCCCACAGGGTTCAGTGTTAATCAGTGAGACTCACAGAGCCAGACTAAGACTCCCACAGGGTTCAGTGTTAATCAGTGAGACTCACAGAGCCAGACTAAGACACCCACAGGGTTCAGTGTTAATCACTGAGACTCACAGAGCCAGACTAAGGCTCCCACAGGGTTCAGTGTTAATCACTGAGACTCACAGAGCCAGACGAAGACTCCCACAGGGTTCAGTGTTAATCAGTGAGACTCACAGAGCCAGACTAAGACTCCCACAGGGTTCAGTGTTAATCACTGAGACTAACAGAGCCAGACGAAAACTCCCATAGGGTTCAGTGTTAATCATTGAGACTCACAGAACCAGACTGAGGCTCCCACAGGGTTCAGTGTTAATCACCGAGACTCACAGAGCCAGACTAAGGCTCCCACAGGATTCAGTGTTAATCACTGAGACTCACAGAGCCAGACTAAGGCTCCCACAGGGTTCAGTGTTAATCAGTGAGACTCACAGAGCCAGACTAAGGCTCCCACAGGGTTCAGTGTTAATCACTGAGACTAACAGAGCCAGACGAAGACTCCCATAGGGTTCAGTGTTAATTATTGAGACTCACAGAACCAGACTAAGGCTCCCACAGGGTTCAGTGTTAATCACTGAGACTCACAGAGCCAGACTAAGGTTTCGAGGCCCCCCTCCATCGCCCTCCTGTCACTCACAGGAGGAGTCGTTGATCCACTCAATGGAGGCTGGAGCGTAGTTCTGGAAGAGAGTGAAGATCTCTTCGGTGCTCATGTCGTCCACCCCGGCCAAGAACAGTGCATCCAGACGCACCTCCGGCACAGCTGGGAGGGAGGGGGAGAGGGAGGGAGACCAGTCCCATGGTTTTCTGGGTTACACGCACACCAGACCAGGTACTCATTTGCGGCTGAGTCAACCTAGGGGAGGCCCAGTACCGGTTGAGATAATCGTCACTGGTACAGCACACCAGGTGTGTGCTGGAGAGCCAAGCCACAGCATTGACAATCTGAGTACTGTGACGTGTCGCCAGCAACTACAACGAGCTGACGGAGCGAGTTGTAGTTGCTGGCTCTCCAACACACAACCGCTGTGCCGTATTTCCCTGCATCATAACACCACGGGGTCGGCCACTTTCTACAAACAAAACAAGACCCTGCGGGGTATATGGAGGTGCGGGCAATCCCAAAAATATTGTACACGTGTGACATGTCATGACTCTGATTTAAAGCTTTCGTGACTGCAGTAATTCATATTCTTAGTTTTTTCAGTAAAGTCACGTTGAAGAGAAACAACAAAATATATATAAAACAATAAAAAATTATCACGATGTTTCGACCATAACTCAAACGGTCATCTTCAGGTGTGTTGGTGTGTTGCAAACCAGGTGTGTTGCAAACCAACACACCTGAAGATGACCGTTTGAGTTATGGTCGAAACGTCGTGAGAATTTTTTTGTTTTATATATATTTTATTATTTTGTTGTTTCTCTTCAACGTGACTTTACCGAAAAAACTAAGAATGTCATGACTCGTTTGATGTTTTCATGGTAGGACTATCCACTACGCAGCACTTACCTTTGACTAAAGCACTGCTGAATAAACCACTCGCACTAAAATTGCACATTATCACGTTTTAAATTACTCGAATTGTTCGTACAATAAAACGACAATGTTGGAACAAGTGGGGGCACTTTGTTTACCGCTACGGGAGAGCTGGGGGGAGAGAGAGATGGGGTGGGGTGGGCGTCACCGTAGTGCCGCTATTGTTTGCGCAGTGCACAATCTACCAGAGCTAAAACTGTACCTATCTACCAGTGATGTGTTACTTATTTATTGGATATTTACTTCTGTTACTTATTTACATTTTAAAGTTCACTCGTTTCCCGTTAGTTTGTTGTCTTTGTGCACGTTATGATTTTAATGTTAACAATTGATAGTGGAATGTATTACAAATGTAAACTTCGAATTAAGCTGCGGTAACGACATTAGAGATATGAATGCATGCGGGGTGTATGGAGGTGCGGGCGATCTGAATATTTGTTTTACACAAAACGCTATTTTTGCGGGGTATATGCGGGAAAATCCGGTACCAGTGACGAATTGGCACGTTCTGTTGACGTGACAACCCTTACCAGTTGGCTGTGTCGGGTGGTGGCGGGTTTAACGACACAACATTTATATATTTATGCGTTCTAAGAAAAACCTCTATTATGGTAGCGCTAACCACTACACTACCGCTCCCCACGTATGCACAAACAACAACAACCGCCATTCGCCACAAAGTGGCGGTGACGTCACCACGACGCTTGTGCCAGGCTATGTGCCAGTTGAGGCCACGTGAAGTGTCGAATGCCCGCTGGCAGAAGGACACGGGGCAGACCCAGCAGGTGCCACGGGTCGACTGAGACGACTGGCTGGTGCACCACCTGTGCCCCCTACTGTGCCAACTTGCTCTGCTTTAGCCACCCGGCGCTCCGCTCGTTGTTGTGAGCGTCGCTCCTCTGCCCTCCATTGTTGCTGAATAAAAGCTGTTTAGGCATATGGTGGCTGGCCATGCGGTGGCTGGGCATGCGGGCTACATGACCCAGCCAATTGCAGCCTTGCCTGCTAGAGCTCACCGATGCGACTTTTTCCAGATCTCTCAAGGATTTGTGAGCTCCTCACACAATCCAGCCTGCAGGTTAAACCCAGGGTGGATCATAGGCAGTGCCAGCCTGAACGATTCTAACCGGTAAAGATGTTCCATTAGGTGGGTCCACGTTTCACAAGCGTAGAGAAGGGAGGGAATGACCGTGGCCGAGAAGACCTGAAGCTTCGTGCGGAGCGACAGACCAGGTAGCTTCCACACAGCAACAGCGTTACGCAGCCGATGAAAAGATAATGCCGCTCCACTGATTCAGAGCAAGACCTCTCCTGTCAAATCGGTCGTAAGCACACTGCCCAGGTTTGGGAAATTCTCCACTCTCAACCACAACTGCCCCATCACCGATTGGGAGTTGTGGGGGTGGACTGTCCGATGGTACAAAATACCCAGGCAGGTGCTTAGTTTTGGTGGGGCTGATGGTAAGGCCCCATCTCTTAGTGGCACGCTCCAGTCTCAGCAGCAGCGCCTCCAACTCCTCCTCGGAGTGAGCAGCAATCGCCAGATCATTAACATACATAACGTGTTTAACCAATAGGGAGCCATCCCTTGACCGCACCCGGGCATCGATCAGCCTCCTGTTGTACCAGATGGAGATTCCTCCAGTACAGCCATCGAAGGCATCACAAACTATATGGTCTAAATAATGTGGGAGCCAGAGGACATCCCTGTCGCACCCCAAGGTGTACAGGGAATGGCTCTGACTCCCGGCCACGTAGTTTTACCCGGGCCCGCTCACCATCATGAAGGTCCTTAATGATCGTGAGCAGAGGGTCAGGGACTCCAAAAGCACGAAGAACAACCCAGAGCCCAGGCCTACTGATGGTATCATAGGCCTTGACCAGGTCAATAAAGAAGAGATGTAGGTCTTGTTGGAATTCCCTACACCTCTGCTCTAGCAGACGGACAGAAAATATGGCATCTGTGCAGGACCGCCCTTTCCTGAAACCTCATTGGGGCTCCGCAAGCCTCTCCTCAGTGCAAACACACCAACACACACGCGCACACACATGCACATGTACACACACGCGTACACACATGCACATGTACACACACGCACATGTACACACACGCACATGTACACACACGCGCACACACACGCGCACACACACGCGTACACACACGCACATGTACACACACGCACACGCACACACACACACGTGCACACACGCACATGTACACACACGCGCACACACACGCGCACACACACGCGTACACACACGCGCACACACACACACACGCGTACACACACGCGCACACACACACACACGCGCACACACACACACACGCGCACACACACGCGTACACACACGCGCACACACACACACACGCGCACACACACGCGTACACACACGCACATGCACACACCTTTCCTCAGCGCGTCCTTGTCAATGACGACGGCGCTGTGAGGTGTCTCCTCGTCGCCACGGAAGTGAAACCTCTTCGCTCGCTGCTCCTTCCTCTCTACAGCCTCCTGTAGCACGCAGACACGCACAGACACACACACACGCACAGACACACACACAGACACACACACAGACACACACAGACACACACACACAGACACACACACAGACACACAGACACACACATACACACACACAGTCACACACACAGACACACACACACACAGACACACACACACAGTCACACACACACACACACAGACACACACACAGTCACACACACAGACACACACAAAGATCCCCTGTGTAGCCTTAACAGACTGTAGGGGCAAGTGCTGTTAGCGAGCACCTATGAAGGCCGGAACGGTACACGAGGGAGTGGGTGGCCAGCACCACGCCCGACCGCCTTTGTCTCCCCAGTGCTAGCGATGTTTACTGCACACCACACCAGGTACTCATTTGAGGCTGAGCCGACCTAGGAGAGGCCCAGGACCAGTTCAGATAATCGTCACCGGTGGTGTTGGCCGTGAGCGGCAATTGAACTCGGACATTTAATCTCAAAGGGCTGCGTCCTCATGATTCCCTCACCACTCCCCTAATCACCATCACCACCAACAACACCATCACCACCAAAACCATCACCACCACCAATACCATGACAAGCACTACACCACCGCTCCCCACACACATAACAACAACAACAAGCCCCATTCGCCACTAAGTGGTGGTGACGTCACCACGACGCTTGTGCCAGGCCATGTGCCATACACATGGACACACAGACTTTCACGAAGACAACCATTCACCCACTCACCCACCTGCTCATTCACTCATTCACCCACCCACCCATTCACTCACTGTTTCACCCATTCACTCATTCACCCTCTCACCCACTCACCCCCATTCAACCACTCACCCAATCAACCAACCACCCATTCACCCACTCACCCACCCATTAATTGACCCACCCATCCATTCCCTCATTCTTTCACACATTCACTCACCCAATCACCCACTCAACTACTCACCCATTCACTTAATCACCCACCCACCCATTCACCCACCCACCCATTCACCCACCCACCCATTCACCCCCCCACCCACCCTTTCACCCACCCACCCACTCACCCACCCACTCACCCACCCACCCACTCACTCACCCACCCACCCACTCACCCACCCACTCACCCACCCACTCACCCACCCACTCACTCACCCACTCACCCACCCACCCACCCACTCACCCACCCACCCACTCACTCACTCACCCACCCACCCACCCACTCACTCACTCACTCACCCACCCACCCACTCACCCACTCACCCACTCACCCACCCACTCACAATCAGGACGTGTCTTTGGATTACGAAGCTCTTTTCCACCCACCCACCTTGGACGTGACATCCACCCCAGTGATGAAAGTCCCGGACTTGTTCTCGTACTTGCGACTCGTATCCTGCCGTGGGGGGGGGGGAGCAGGCGTGGTCACAGATACGGAGTGGTCACACGTGAGTGGGTGGGTGAGCGGGTGGGTGAGCGGGTGGGTGCGTGGATGACTGAGTGGGTGGGTGACTGAGTGGGTGGGTGAGTGAGTGGCTGGGTGGGTGGGTGAGTGGGTGGGCGGATGAGTGGGTGGGTGGATGAGTGGATAGGTGGGTGAGTGGCTGGGTGGGTAAGTTAGTGAGTGGGTGGGTGAGTAGGTGGGTGAGTGGGTGAGTGGGTGTGTAGGTGGGTGAGTGAGTGGGTGAGTGAGTGGGTGGGTGAGTGAGTGGGTGGGTGAGTGGGTGGTTGAGTGACTGTGTGTGTGACTGTGTGAGTGAGTGACTGTGTGTGAGTATTCTAGCGAGCGAGTGGGCTTGTGAGTGCAGTTCAGGTTTGCAGCAACAGCAGCATGAACAGGAAGAGCATGAACAGCAGCATCAACAACAGAAGCATCAACAACAGAAGCATCAACAGCAGAAGCATCACCAGAAGAAGCAGCATTATCGGTAACATCAGCATCATCAGCAGCCAGTGGTATAAGCAGCAGCATCATCAACCTTCTCAGTATGTCTCTGTGGGTGTCTGTGGGTCTCTATGAGTGTCTGAGTATGGGTCTCTATGGGGCTCTGAGTATGGGTCTCTATGAGTATGGGTCTCTGTGGGTTTGTATGAATATAGGTCTCTATGGGTCTCTATGAGTATGGGTCTCTGTGGGTCTGAGTATGGGTCTGTGGGTCTCTGTGGGTTTGTATGAGTCTCTATGGGTCTCTGTGGGTCTCTATGAGCATGGGTCTGTGGGTCTGTGGGTTTGTATAAATGTCTCTATGGGTCTCTATGAGTATGGGTCTCCATGGGTCTCTATGGGTCTCTGTGAGTATAGGTCTCGGTGGGTCTCTGTGAGTATGGGTCTCTGTGGGTCTCTGTGAGTCTCTGTGGGCCTCTGTGAGTATGGGTCTCTGTGGGTCTCTGTGGGTCTCTGAGTCTCTATGAGTCTCTGTGAGTCTCTGTGAGTCTTTGTGAGTATATGTCTCTGTGGGTCTCTGTGGGTCTCTGTGAGTCTCTGTGAGTATAGGGCTCTGTGGGTCTATGTGGGTCTCTATGGGTCTCTATGGGTCTCTGTGAGTCTCAGTATGGGTCTCTGTGAGTCTCTGTGAGTATGGGTCACTGTGGGTCTCTATGGGTCACTGTGGGTCTCTATGGGTCTCTGAGTCTCTGTGAGTCTGTATGAGTCTCTGTGAGTCTCTATGAGTATGGGTCTGTGAGTCTCTGTGAGTATAGGTCTCTGTAGGTCTCTGTGAGTCTCTGTTTGTCTCTGTGAGTCTCTGTGAGTATAGGTCTCTGTGTGTCTCTGTGAGTCTCTGTGAGTCTGTGTGTCTCTGTGAGTCTGTGTGTCTCTGTGGGTATGAGTCTCTGTGTGTCTCTGTGAGTCTGTGTGTGTCTCTGTGAGTCTCTGTGTGTCTCTGTCTGTCTCTGTGAGTCTCTGTGTGCCTCTGTGTGTCTCTGTGAGTCTCTGTCTCTGTGAGTCTCTATGTGTCTCTGTGTGTCTCTGTGTCTCTGTGGGTCTCTGTGAGTCTCTGTGAGTATAGGTCTCTGTGTGTCTCTGTGGGTCTCTGTGAGTATGGGTCTCTGTGGGTCTGTGTGTCTCTATGGGTCTCTGTGTGTCTCTGTGAGTCTCTGTGAGTATAGGTCTCTGTGAATCTCTGTGTCTCTGTGTGTCTCTGTGAGTCTCTGTGAGTATAGGTCTCTGTGAGTCTCTGTGTGTCTCTATGGGTCTCTGTGTCTCTGTGTGTCTCTGTGAGTATAGGTCTCTGTGAGTCTCTGTGTCTCTATGGGTCTCTATAAGTCTCTGTGAGTATGTGTCTCTGTGTGTCTCTATGAGTCTCTGTGAGTCTCTGTGTGTCTCTATGAGTCTCTCTGTGGGTCTCTATAGGTCTCTGTGAGTATGTGTTTCTGTGTGTCTCTGTGAGTCTCTATGAGTCTCTATGTCTCTATGAGTCTCTGTGGGTCTCTCTGTGTCTCTGTGGGTCTCTGTGTGTCTCTGTGGGTCTCTCTGTGTATCTCTGTGAGTCTCTATGAGTCTCTGTGAGTCTCTATGGGTCTCTATGGGTCTCTGTGTGTCTCTGTGAGTCTCTATGAGTCTCTGTGAGTCTCTGTGTCTCTATGAGTCTCTGTGAGTCTCTGTGTCTCTATGAGTCTCTGTGGGTCTCTCTGTGTCTCTGTGTGTCTCTATGAGTCTCTGTGAGTCTCTGTGTCTCTATGAGTCTCTGTGAGTCTCTGTGTCTCTATGAGTCTCTGTGGGTCTCTCTGTGTCTCTGTGTGTCTCTGTGGGTCTCTGTAACTGTCCACGTGAGAGCCACGCTCGCTCGCTGCACTAAAGACTCCACAGGGCAGCTCAGCGCTAGCGGTGCCCCCCCGTGGTGGCGCCAAGCGAAACAAACGAAGTCGCCGCGAGTGGCCTGAAGGAGGCCATCGCCTCCCTCCTCCTCCATCGCCTCCCTCCTCCTCCATCGCCTCCCTCCTCCTCCATCGCCTCCTCCTCCTCCATCGCCTCCCTCCTCCTCCTCCTCCATCGCCTCCCTGCTCACCGGGAGGAGATTCGTGAGAGTTCTTCTCACGCACACAGACGCAGCTGTCGCCTCTGTGTTGTCCACCTCCTCCTCGCCGCCGTCGTCCGCCACCTCCTCCACGTCCATCGGCTCCTCTCCAGCAACTCCACCACCACCACCAACAACTCCAACATCAACAACAACTCCAACATCAACAACTCCGCCGCCTTCAACGACTGCCGCCATTATCCCAACGGCGGCCATCGCTGTTGGCGGAACCGGAAACCACGTGGGAGGGTGGGGGATGAGGGATGAGGGGGATGGTGGTGATGGTGGTGAAGGTGATGGTGGTGATGATGGTGATGATGTTGGTGATGGTGGTGATGTTGGTGATGGCGGTGATGTTGGTGATGGCGGTGATGGGGATGATGGTGGTGATGGTGATGATGGTGGTGATGGTGGTGGTGGTGATGATGGTGGTGATGGTGATGTTGGTGATGGTGGTGATGGTGATGATGGTGATGGTGTTGGTAGTGATGATGGTGATGGTGGTGATGATGGTGGTGGTGGTGATGGTGATATGGTGATGGTGGTGGTGATGTTGGTGATGGTGATGAAGGTGATGGTGATGGTGGTGATGGTGATGATGGTGGTGATGGTGGTGATGGTGATGATGGTGGTGATGATGGTGATGATGGTGATGGTGGTGATGGTGATGATGGTGGTGATGATGGTGATGGTGGTGATGGTGGTGATGGTGATGATGGTGGTGATGGTGGTGATGGTGGTGATGGTGGTGATGGTGGTTATGGTGATGATGGTGGTGATGGTGATGAACGTGATGGTGGTGATGGTGATGATGATGGTGGTGATGGTGATGATGTTGGTGATGGTGGTGATGTTGGTGATGGCGGTGATGTTGGTGATGGCGGTGATGGGGATGATGGTGGTGATGGTGATGAAGGTGATGGTGGTGATGGTGCTGATGGTGATGATGGTGGTGATGGTGGTGATGGTGGTGGTGATGATGGTGGTGATGGTGATGTTGGTGATGATGATGGTGATGGTGGTGATGGTGTTGGTAGTGATGATGATGATGGTGGTGATGATGGTGATGGTGATATGGTGATGGTGGTGATGGTGATGAAGGTGATGGTGATGATGGTGGTGATGGTGGTGATGGTGATGATGGTGGTGATGGTGATGTTGGTGATGGTGATGGTGGTGATGGTGGTGATGGTGATGATGGTGGTGATGATGGTGATGGTGGTGATGGTGATGATGGTGGTGATGATGGTGGTGATGATGGTGATGGTGGTGATGATGGTGGTGATGGTGATGATGGTGGTGATGGTGATGTTGGTGATGGTGATGGTGGTGATAGTGGTGATGGTGGTGATGGTGATGGTGGTGATGGTGATGATGGTGGTGATGGTGATGATGGTGGTGATGATGGTGTTGGTGATGGTGATGATGGTGATGAAGGTGATGGTGGTGGTGATGTTGGTGATGGTGGTGATGGTGATGATGGTGGTGATGGTGATGATGGTGGTGGTGGTTATGATGGTGATGAAGTTGGTGATGGTGGTGATGATGGTGATGGTGGTGATGATGGTGATGGTGGTGATGATGGTGATATTGGTAATGGTGATGGTGGTGATGGTGATGATGGTGGTGATGGTGATGGTGGTGATGTTGGTAATGGTGGTGATGATGGTGATGGTGATGATGGTGATGATAGTGGAGGTGATGATGGTGATGATGGTAGTGATGGTGGTGATGGTGATGGTGGTGGTGATGGTGATGATGGTGATTATGGTGGTGATGATGGTGATTATGGTGGTGATGGTGGTGATGGTGGTGATGGTGATGGTGGTGATGGTGGTGGTGGTGATGGTGATGGTGATGTTGGTGATGGTGGTGATGGTGATGATTGTGGTGATGGTGATGGTGGTGATGGTGATGATGATGGTGATGGTGGTGATGGTGATGATGGTGGTGATGATGGTGATGATGGTGATGATGGTGATGGTGGTTATCTGGTGATGGTGATGATGGTGGCGATGGTGGTGTTGGTGATGGTGGTGATGGTGCTGATGATGATGGTGATGGTGGTGATGGTGGTGATGGTGGTGATGGTGATGGTGGTGATGGTGGTGGTGGTGATGGTGATGATGGTGATTATGGTGGTGGTGATGGTGATGGTGGTGATGGTGATGTTGGTGATGGTGGTGATGGTGATGATTGTGGTGATGGTGGTGATGATGATGGTGATGGTGGTGATGGTGATGATGGTGGGGATGGTGATGGTGGTGATGGTGATGGTGGTGATGGTGGTGATGGTGATGGTGGTGATGGTGATGATGGTGGTGATGATGGTGATGGTGGTGATGATGGTGATGGTGATGATGGTGATGATAGTGGAGGTGATGATGGTGATGATGGTAGTGATGGTGGTGATGGTGATGGTGGTGGTGATGGTGATGATGGTGATTATGGTGGTGATGATGGTGATTATGGTGGTGATGGTGGTGATGGTGGTGGTGGTGATGGTGATGGTGATGTTGGTGATGGTGGTGATGGTGATGATTGTGGTGATGGTGATGGTGGTGATGGTGATGATGGTGGTGATGATGATGGTGATGGTGGTGATGGTGATGATGGTGGTGATGATGGTGATGGTGGTGATGATGGTGATGGTGGTTATCTGGTGATGGTGATGATGGTGGCGATGGTGGTGTTGGTGATGGTGGTGATGGTGCTGATGATGATGGTGATGGTGGTGATGGTGGTGATGGTGGTGATGGTGATGGTGGTGATGGTGGTGGTGGTGATGGTGATGATGGTGATTATGGTGGTGGTGATGGTGATGGTGGTGATGGTGATGGTGATGTTGGTGATGGTGGTGATGGTGATGATTGTGGTGATGGTGGTGATGATGATGGTGATGGTGGTGATGGTGATGATGGTGGGGATGGTGATGGTGGTGATGGTGATGGTGGTGATGGTGGTGATGGTGATGGTGGTGATGGTGATGATGGTGGTGATGATGGTGATGGTGGTGATGGTGATAATGGTGGTGATGATGGTGGTGATGATGGTGATGGTGGTGATGATGGTGGTGATGGTGGTGATGGTGATGATGGTGGTGATGGTGATGTTGGTGATGGTGATGGTGGTGATAGTGGTGATGGTGGTGATGGTGATGATGGTGGTGATGGTGATGATGGTGATGATGGTGGTGATGATGGTGTTGGTGATGGTGATGATGGTGGTGGTGATGTTGGTGATGGTGGTGATGGTGATGATGGTGGTGATGGTGATGATGGTGGTGGTGGTTATGATGGTGATGAAGTTGGTGATGGTGGTGATGATGGTGATGGTGGTGATGATGGTGATGGTGGTGATGATGGTGATATTGGTAATGGTGATGGTGGTGGTGATGGTGGTGATGGTGATGATGGTGGTGATGGTGATGGTGGTGATGGTGATGGTGGTGATGGTGGTGGTGGTGGTGATGGTGATGGTGATGTTGGTGATGGTGGTGATGGTGATGATTGTGGTGATGGTGATGGTGGTGATGGTGATGATGGTGATGATGGTGATGGTGGTGATGGTGATGATGGTGGTGATGATGGTGATGGTGGTGATGATGGTGATGGTGGTTATCTGGTGATGGTGATGATGGTGGCGATGGTGGTGTTGGTGATGGTGGTGATGGTGGTGATGGTGCTGATGATGATGGTGATGGTGGTGATGGTGGTGATGGTGGTGATGGTGATGGTGGTGATGGTGGTGGTGGTGATGGTGATTATGGTGGTGGTGATGGTGATGGTGGTGATGGTGGTGATGGTGATGTTGGTGATGGTGGTGATGGTGATGATTGTGGTGATGGTGGTGATGATGGTGGTGATGGTGGTGATGGTGGTGATGGTGATGGTGATGTTGGTGATGGTGGTGGTGGAGGAGATGGTGGTGGTGGTGATGGTGGTGGTGGTGTTGGTGGTGAGGGTGGTGTTGGTGATGGTGGTGATGGTGGTGATGGTGCTGATGATGATGGTGATGGTGGTGATGGTGGTGATGGTGGTGATGATGGTGATGGTGGTGATGATGGTGATATTGGTAATGGTGATGGTGGTGGTGATGGTGATGATGGTGGTGATGGTGATGGTGGTGATGTTGGTAATGGTGGTGATGATGGTGATGGTGATGATGGTGATGATAGTGGAGGTGATGATGGTGATGATGGTAGTGATGGTGGTGATGGTGATGGTGGTGGTGATGGTGATGATGGTGATTATGGTGGTGATGGTGGTGATGGTGATGGTGGTGATGGTGGTGGTGGTGATGGTGATGTTGGTGATGGTGGTGATGGTGATGATTGTGGTGATGGTGATGGTGGTGATGGTGATGATGGTGATGATGGTGATGATGGTGATGGTGGTGATGGTGATGATGGTGGTGATGATGGTGATGGTGGTGATGATGGTGATGGTGGTTATCTGGTGATGGTGATGATGGTGGCAATGGTGGTGTTGGTGATGGTGGTGATGGTGGTGATGGTGCTGATGATGATGGTGATGGTGGTGATGGTGGTGATGGTGGTGATGGTGATGGTGGTGATGGTGGTGGTGGTGATGGTGATGATGGTGATTATGGTGGTGGTGATGGTGATGGTGGTGATGGTGGTGATGGTGATGTTGGTGATGGTGGTGATGGTGATGATTGTGGTGATGGTGGTGATGATGGTGGTGATGGTGGTGATGGTGATGGTGATGTTGGTGATGGTGATGGTGATGATTGTGGTGATGGTGGTGATGATGATGGTGATGGTGGTGATGGTGATGATGGTGGTGATGGTGATGGTGGTGATGGTGATGATGGTGGTGATGGTGATGGTGGTGATGGTGATGGTGGTGATGGTGTTGGTGATGATGATGGTGATCGTGGTGATGGTGGTGATGTTGGTGATGGTGGTGATGGTGGTGTAGAGGAGTAGAATGGGGAAGTGGCGTCACTTGTGCCGTCCAGGGCGATGACGTGACGTCATGCGCTTGGGGCAGCAGAGTGACGTCACGGATCCTCAAGGATTAAAAAGGGGACCCCGTGACGTAAGAGGGGTCGTAGCTGGAGAGTCGGGGTCTGAGAAGGGTGCTACGGGGAGCCAGGGGCAAGAGGGTAGGGATAGGGGAGAGGTCGCAGTGCCAGGCTAGAGGTGGCTGTGCTCCTCGCTCGGCCGTGTTGGCTGATCCCACGGCCGGGGCAGAGGAGACAGCACGGGGCAGCCGGCTGTGTCGGGACCT